GTCCATGTAGTAACTCAAGACTTTGGCTTGCAAATCAAAACAAACCAAAAATAAATGAATGTTGGAATAAGGGACAGCGTTGCATGGGAATTAATATTCATTTATTTAGTAAGCTAACACCTTTTACTAATTTTACATATGATGGCTAGCAATATTAGATTAATGTCCTAATAACTTGCCTCACAATGTTCTTAAAAATAATTAAGCAGTATACTAGAGAGACAAAAACTGAATTTGGCAAGGACAAATTAGGACTGTCCGAAAGGGGTTCCTTTTATGTTGAGGTACTATGAAGTACATGACAAGAAAAAACAAGTATAACTCATGCAAAGCATTGTAAGATTTCCAATCATAGCATAGTGTTTGGTAAGTTCCTGATGAAAACTAACGAGCAAAGTACCCTAGGATTGAAAAGTCTAAAACTCATAAACCAAAAAACCAGGCTTTGAATTCTATATTTCTATTACAATTTTAAATAATCTTTCATCAAAATTACAGCAAGAAATAGAGAAATAAAGAAATTCAAAAACAAAAATACAATATATAACCAGATTACACATCTGAATTCATACTTCAATCTGAAAGAAACTATAAAGCCTTACCAATTAAAAACAAAAGTACTTAGAGGAATAAATCAGTTCATCATGCATTAAGTATTTTGTTCGTTGACAAAGTTGGTTCACAACTCACGAACACTTGTGTTGTTTGAAGGATATACCATTTACTCTTTGGATGGCTTATTTTATCTGCTCTTATGAGTGTTTTTTTTTGTAAGCCTTAAAGGGGCAAAAGATCTATTTTTCAAACAATATGATGTTTGTGAGTTGTGAACCAACTTTATCAAGGAACAAAATACTTAATGCATGATGAACTGCTTTACTGCTTTTAAGTAGTTTGTTTTTTGTTGTTAAAGCTTTATGGTTTCTTTGAGATTGAAGTTCGAATTCCAAAGTGTAATCTGTTTATGCATTGCGTTTTTGTCTTTGAATTTTTTGTTTCTCCATTTCTTGCTATACTTTTGATGATATATTGTGTAAAATTGTTGTAGAGTTCTAACCTCACCTTTGTTGATTATTAATATTTGAATTTTATATTTTAAATTACTGTGCTTTTTTTTTTTTCCTTTGAACTTACAAAATACTATTCCATGAGTGAGAATCATTCATGCTTAGTACTAATTATTTTCTTGTATTTCCTCCTCATTTGACACAAACCAAGTTTTGTCTTCTTTAGTTAAAGAAAATAATAGAAAAAAAGGAGTTGAGGTTTTTGACCTGATAAAATGGATACTACAAACAAATACTAGTTTTCTGATATTTATTAAAGCTATAACTTGAAGGTCTCAATGGAGTGCCTGGATGATTAGAGTGTAGCATCAAAAGTCAGAATACAAGTGAGCTGTTTTGTGTGGGAATATAAAAGTAAAAGAGGGAGAAGAGGGATTTGCTTTCTGGTACTTTGCTAAGCAGTTCAACCTGGAAACTCTTTAAGGTGTCAGTCTAAGGGAAATTGCAGAACCACCTACCTGAAAAAATTGTTGTTGTAAACTTCGAACATTTAGGGGTTAACCCTCATTAATAATGATGTTAAGGACCTATTCATGGAATTTTTAGAAAATTTTTTTCTTTATAGAGAATTTAGTTTTTAATATTATGGATTGAACCTGGCAGCTTTTCATTGCTTTTGTCATGCGTGTTTGTTCTCCAGTCTAATGTTCTTGTTTGCTGGTGGAGTCTATGTGTGTGTGTCTTTCTTTTTGTGTATGAGAGAGAGAGAGAGAGAGAGATGGGCAGATTGTGGGGGGAGGTCCTAGAGCTAGGGAAAGTTTCAGGAAGGTGAGATTCACAAAATCTTTCTTATCCTTGTGTATTTGTATGAAATGTTGAATTAAGCCTCCTGCATATTTTATAGCAGATATCAGTTTTTAATAAGTAGTTGCAATTGTAGGCTGTCCATAACTGTATCTCCTCTATTAAAGGTTTTGCTCATTTGCCTTTCAGACACACAAAGGTTTTTTTTTGCATGTAAACTTAACCAGTCACTTTTATTAGTTAGTTTGTAAGTGTAGTAGAACTGGACCGTCTAAGGGATACATCTAGTTTCTTTTGCATGGATGCCTGGGTGTTGGGTTGATCTTTTGATGATTGGATAACGTTTCAATCTTTATTTTGGACAAGTGCCTTTCGTAAGAGGAATACTGAACTACTGCATCCTAGTGAAAGCAAAGAAGGCATTTAATTTGTCATCCAAGGAGAGGTTAGTCTCAGACTACGGAAAGCATGACATTGAGGACTAGATCTTGACTGAATCTTGGGATATAAGACAATGTGCACTGTGCTGGATTCTAAGATAAGGATAATCTACACCTGGGAGCGGCCGGCCTGAGTTGTGGATTAACTTTATTTTGGTTCCATAGAGTGGGTCACCATATGATTGTAGAAGAGAACTTTGAGTGAGAGAAGTGTATAGATTTGGCACTACTAAGATGAATATCCAGATTCTGAAGTAATTATGGTTTAGTGTGTATTGGCGCATTGTTGCAAGGGCCAATATCGAAAAGATGTCCAACATGAAGATTGAATTGATTTTAGAATGTGGTTGTAGTGCTGATCTTTGGTAGATGTGTTTTACGATGGATCAATTTTTGCTTAGTAAGCTTTATTTTCCTTCCATTGTTTGGCATAGTCATTAATATCTATGCTTGGAATTTGTTTTCAAGTACTTAGCTTAGCGGTTTGACCTGGAAAGTTTCTTTATGGTTATTAGCTTAGGGGCAATTGCAGAATCATTCACCTTAGAAAAGCTGAAAATCTAAGGCTGGCGGAAGTTTAGTTTAGATGAAATATTGAGCTTTTGGGTGTGCCTGTGTGTTTTAAGAAGCATCCATAAGACACTAGAATAATTATTGTAGCTTCTTGCTGGGTCTTCAGAATTTTTTATGCTGAATTTGCTCTAAGGTTCTAAGTGAGATAACAAGTAAAAGATTTCATTATGATTGACTAGGTAATACTGACTTTGGCTTGCATATCAAAACAAACCAAATGCTAATGAATGATGGAATAAGGGACAGCGTTGCATTGGGAATTAATATTTATTTAGTAAGCTAATAACTTTTACTCACTTTACATAGGATGGCTAGTGATATTTGATTTATGTTCTAATAACTACTCCTCATAATGTTTTTAAGAATAATTAAGCAGTATACTAAAGGGAAACAAAAAAACTAAATCTGGCTAGTAGAAATTAAGATTGTCAGAAACATTTTATGTTGAGGCACTATGAAGTGCATGACAAGAAAAAAACAAGTATAGCTCATACAAAGCATTGTAAGATTTCCAATCATGGCATAGTGTTTGGTAAGCTCTTAATGAAAACTAATGAGCAAAGTATCTTAGGACAGAAAAGTCAAATACTCATAAACCAGAAAACCAGGCACAGAATTCTACATTTATATTACAATTTTAAATAATCTTTCATCAAACCTATAGCATGAAATGGAGAAATGATGAAATTCAAAAACAAAATTACAATATAAATCCAGAATTACACATCTGAATTCGTACTTCAATCTAAAGGAACTATAAAGCCTTACCAATTAAAAACAAAAGTACTTAGAATCAGTTCGTCATGCATTAAGTATTTTGTTCCTTGATAAAGTTGGTTCACAACTCACAAGCACTGTATTGTTTGAAGGATATACCATTTACTCTTGGATGGCTTATTTTATCTACTCTTATGAGTGTTTTTTTTGTAAGCCTCAAAGGGGCAAAAGATCTATTTTTCAAACAATATGATATTTGGGAGTTTGTGAACCAACTTTATCAAGGAACAAAATACTTACTGCATGATGAACTGATTTACTGCTTTTAAGTAGTTTGTTTTTTGTTGTTAAGCTTTATGGTTTCTTTGAGATTGAAGTGCGAATTCCAATGTGTAATCTGTTTTTGCATTGCATTTTTGTTTTTGAATTTTTTTATTTCTCCATTTCTTGCTATACTTTTGATTTCATATTGTGTAAAATTGTTGTAGAATTGCAGAGTTCTATCCTCCGCTTTGCTGATTATTAATGTTTGAAATTTATATTTGAAACTACTGTGATCTTTTTTTTTGTGTTCCCTTTTAACTTACAAAATACCATGCCATGAGTGGGAATCATCCATGCTTTGTACTCATTAGTTTCTCGTATTTCCTCCTCATGTGGCACAAACCTAATTTTTTTTCTTTAGCTAAAGAAAATACTAGAAAAAAAGGAGTCAAGGGTTTTGACCTGATAAAATTGATACTACGAGCAAATACTAGTTTTCTGATATTTATTAAAGCTATAACTTGAAGGTCTCAATGGAGTGCCCTGGATGATTTGAGTGAGGCTTCCAAAGTAGGAATCCAAGCATGGGGTGAGTTGAGTGAGCTGTTTTGTGTGGGAATATAAAAGTGAAAGGAGGAGAAGAGGGATTTTTTGCTTTGAGGTACTTCGCTTAGCAATTTGACCTGGAAAGTATTTAAGGTATCAGTCTAAGGGAAATTGTAGAACCACTTGCCTGAAAAAGTCATGGTTGAAAACTTTGAACCTTTAGGGGTTAACCTCATTATTAATGATGTTAAGGACCTATTCATGGAATTTTTAGAAATTTTTTTGCTTTATAGAGAATTTAGTTTTTAATATTATGGATTGGACCTGGCAGCTTTTCATTTCTTTTGTCATGCTTATTTGTTCTCCAGTCTAATGTTCTTGTTTGCTGATGGAGTGTGTGTCTTTCTGTTTGTGTGTGTGTGTGTGTGAGAGAGAGAGAGAGAGAGAGATGGGCAGTGGATTGGACCTGGCAGCTTTTCATTTCTTTTGTCATGCTTATTTGTTCTCCAGTATAATGTTCTTGTTTGCTGGTGGAGTGTGTGTCTTTCTGTTTGTGAATGTGAGCGAGAGAGAGAGAGAGAGAGAGAGAGAGAGAGAGAGAGAGGGAGGGAGGGAGGGAGAGAGAGATGGGCAGATTGTGGGGCGGAGGTCGTAGAGCTAGGGAAAGTTTCAGGAAGGTGAGATTCACAAGATCTTTCTTATCCTTGTGTATTTGTATGAAATGTTGAATTAAGCCTCCTGCATATTTTGAAGCAGATATCAGTTTTTAATAAAGTAGTTGCAATTGTAGGCTGTCCATAACTCTATCACCACTATTAAAGGTTTTGCTCATTTGCCTTTCAGAAACAAAAAAGTTTTATTTGCATGTAAACTTATCTAGTCACTTTTATTAGTTAGTTTATAAGTGTAGTAGAACTGGACCTTCTAAGAGATGCACCTAGTTTCTTTTGCATGGATGCCTGGGTGTTGGGTTGATCTTTTGATGATTGGATAATGTTTCAATCTTTGTTTTTGACAAGTGCCTTTTGTAAGAGGAATACTGAACTACTGAGTCCTAGTGAAAGCAAAAGCATTTAATTTGTCATCCAAAGACAGGTTAGGTTTGAGGCATGAGAAATTGGTATAATTACTTTAGGTAGCTCAAGCTAGGATTGGTTTCAAACTGTGGAAAGCATGAAATTGGGGGCTGGATCTTGACTAAATGTTGGGATATACGACATAGTGCACTGTGTTGGATTCTAACATAAGGACAATCTACACCTGGTAACGGTCGGCTTGAGTCGTGGATCAACTTTATTTTGGTTCCATAGAGTGTGTTGCCACATGATTGTTGAAGAGATTTTAAGTGAGAGGTGTGTATAGATTTGGCACTACTAAGATGAATATCTTGATTCTGAAGTAATTATGGTCTAGTGTGTATTGGCACATTGTCGCAAGGGTCATTGAAAAGTTGTCCGACATGAAGATTGAATTGATTTTAGAATGTGGTTGTAGTATGGCTGATCTTTGATAGATATGTTTTGGGTTGGATCAATTTTGCTTAGTAAGCTTTATTTTCCTTCCATTGTCTGGTTTAGTCATTAATATCTATGTTTGGAATCTGTTTTCAAGTACTTAGCTTAGCAGTTTGACCTGGAAAGTTTCTTTACGGTTATCAGCTTAGAGGCAATTGAAGAATTATTCACCTTAAGTACATAGTTAAAATTGTTTCATTTTTGTGGATCAAGTCATTATAGGTGATGTCAAGAACATATTCATGAAATTCGTAGTATTTTCTACCTAGGATGGAATTTATATTTGAGCATTCTTGGTTACACCTGGCAGTTTTTGGATGCTTCTCTCTTATTTAGACTTGTAGAAGTTCTGGAGTGGATATACGTGTTTATATGTAGACATGATAGTTTTACAACTGTAGGCTGTGCATAATCTAGTGAGCTCCAACTAACTAACAATGGTTTTGCTCATTTACCTTTGACAAACAGAAGATCACGCAATGGTTTATTAGCATGTAACTAGACAAGTCCATGTATTCGGTAATAAGTGTAGTAGTGCTTATGCTTCTGTGAGACACTTATTACTTTTGCAGACATGTCTGGTTAAGGATTGATCTTTTCATGCTCTAATTATTAGATTCGTGCCTTTGTATAAAGGAAAATCGAACTGGTGAGTAGTAATGAGAGCTAAGAGCTGTCTAAGGATGAGTAAAATTGGGAGTTATTAGCTGGTGTCATCAAACTATGGAAACATGACATCCAGGACTGGATCTGAATTAAATCTTGGGGAATAAGACATTGTGCACTTTGTTGGCTTCCTAAATAAAGATAATCTATACTTGAAAGTGGCCGGCTTGAGTTGTGAATTAAGTTTATTTTGGTTCCATATACTGGGTCGCCATATGATGTTTGAAGGGAATTTTGAGTGAGAGAGGTGTATGGATTTGGCACTGCTAAGATGGAAATTCAGATTTGTAAGTAATTATGGTTTAGTGTGTACTGGTTCATTGTCGCAAGTGTTGACGTTGAAAAGATATCTGATCTGAAGTTTGAATTAATTTTGGTATGTGGTTGTAGGATTGATCTATGGTTGATGTGTTTTAGGATGGATCGATTTTGCTTGGTAAGCTTTTATTGTCCTTCCACTCTCTGGTGTAGTCCATAATATCTATGTTATAATATCTATGTTTGGAATCTGTCTTCAAGTACACAGCTTAGCAATTTGAACTGGAAGGTTTCTTGAATGCTATCAACTTAGGGGCAATTGCAGAATCATTCACCTCAAGGACGTAGTTAAAATTGTTCACATTTTAGGGGGTTGAGTTGTTATTGGTGTATGCCAAGGATATATTCATGAAATTTGTAGTACTAATCTACCTTGGATAGAGTTTATATTTTAGCATTCTTGGTTAACATGGTGGCTTTTGGTTGCTTCTCTCATATTCAGTACATCATCTATAATAGATTGCAGTCTTTATACGTAGACATAATGGTTTTGCAACTGTAGGCTGTGCATGTAACCTAATGATCAATTAATTAACAATGGTTTTGCTAGTTTGCAATTCAGAAATAGAAGGTCAAGGAATGGTTTATTAGCTTGTAAACTTGACTAGTCACATGTATTAGCTAATAAGTCTTGTACCGGTTGAGCTTCTGTGGGACACTAATTATGCCTTTTTATGGAGGAATGTCAAACTAGCGAGTAGTAGTGAGAGCTAAGAGTCGTCTAAGGATGAGTAAAATTGGGAGTGATAAGTTGGTGTCATCAGACTATGGAAACAGGACATCTAGGACTGGATCTGAATTAAATCTTGGGCAACAGGACATTGTGCACTTTGTTGGATTCCTAAATAAGGTAATCTATACTTGGGAGCGGCCGGCCTCAGTTGTGGATTATTTTTATTTTGGTTCTATAGACTGGGTCACCATATGATTGTTGAAGAGAATTTTGAGTAAGAGAGATGTATAGATTTGGCAATACTAAGATGAATATCCAGATTCTAAAGTAGTTATGGTCTAACACAAGGGTTGACATTAAAAAGATGTTTGATATGAAGATTGAATTGATTTTAGAATGTGGTTGTAGGAGTGATCTATGGTAGATGTGTTTTAGGATGGATCAATTTTGCTTAGTAAACTTTATGCTCCTTCTATTGCCTGGTGTAGCCATTAATATCTATGTTTTGAATCTGTTTTCAAGTAATTAGCTTAGTGGTTTGACATCGAAAGTTTCTTGAAAGTTATTAGCTTAGGGGCAACTGCAGAATCATTCACCTTTGGAACAGAGTTAAAATTATTTTAGGTGGTTGAGTCTTTATTAGTGATGTAAAGACTAATTAGTAGTATTTTTTTACCTAGGATAGAATTTATATTCTAGCATTCTTGGTTACACTTGGCAGCTTTTTGTTGCTTCTCTTGTATTCAGACTCCTCGTACATGCTTAGTAGTAGATAGCAAGAAATATTAATACACAGAGATAGTTGTTTTACAACTGTAGGCTGTGCATTATCTATTGAGCTCTAATCAATTAGCAATGGTTTTGCCCGTTTACCTTTCAGAGATAGAAGGTCACAGAACGGTTTATTAACTGGACAAGTCACTTATATTAGCTAATAAGTGTAGTAGCATTTGAACTTCTATGAGAAACACTGATTTCTTTTGCCCCGCTGTCTGGTCATGGACTGATATTTTCATGGTCTATTTATTAGATATGACTTCAATTTATCTTTTGACAATTGCATTGGTATAGAGGAATATTGAACTATTGAGTAGTAGTGAGAGCTAAGAGTCATCTAAGGAGGGGTAAAATTGGGAGTGAGAAGCTTGTGTCATCAGTCTATGGAAACATGACATCTAGGAGTGGATCTAAACTAAATCTTGGGGAATAAGACTTTATGTACTTAAGTAAAGATAATCTATACTTGGGATCAGCTGGCCTGAGTTGTGGATTAACTTTGTTTTGGTTCCATAGAGTGGGTCACCATATGAATTTTGAGGATAATTTTGAGTGAGAGAGGTGTATAAATTTGGCACTCCTAAGATAAATATCCAGATTCTGAAGTAATTTTGGTCTAGTGTGTATTGGTGCATTGTCTCAAGGGTTGACATTGAAAGGATATCCAATATGAAGATTGAATTCATTTTAGAATGTGGTTGTTGTACGGCTGATCTTTGGTAGGTTTGTTTTAGGATGAATCAATGTTGTTTAATAAGCTTTTATTCTCCTTCCATTAACTGGGGTAGTCGTTGATATCTTTGCCTGGAATCTGTTTTCAAGTACTAAGGATAATTGGTTATATATTTGCCTGGAAGTTTCTTTAAGGTTATCAGCTTAAGGGCAATAGCAGAATCATTCTCTCGAGAACATAGTTGAATTCATCCACATTTTAGGGGGTTGAGTCATTATTAGTTATGTCAAGGATATATAAAATGTCTGAGAAGTTAATAAAATCTGTATTTGGAATTTGTTTTCATCTATCTTAGTGAGCTGTTTGACCTAGAAAGTGTCTTTGAGACTATCAACTTGAGGAAAATTACATAATTACTCGCTCCAAAAACATACTTGAGATCTTCCAAAGTTGTTGGTGGTTAACGACATTTATGGAATTTTTAAGAAAGTTTGTGCCTACAATAGAATATATTTTTAGACATTATCGGTTGGACCTGGCTGCTTTTGGTTGCTTTCTCTCATACTTATTTCTTATATAGAGTCCTTGTTCCTAGTATAAGTAAGAACATTTTGCTGGTGAGAGAGAGAGAAAGGGATGAATAATTTCAGAGGGGAGTCCTAGAGCTAGGGAGTTTAAGACGAAGATTCCAAAGATTCTTGAGAAGCAGTGTGCAGAAATGAAAACTATCTGTTATGTGCCACCACCTAAACTCATTCCTACTACTACTATTTAAATGCATCCCAGCCATATCTATTCTCATTTTTCTTCTATGAACTAATAAAGAAAATTGTCTTTTCTGATGTGGGAGAGGAGAATTTGGGAGCCGTATGAAGAAGAAGTGGTTGAGATGAGGAGTCGAAGAAAAAAGCTCAATTTTTGTCAGGTTAATTTCTATTTTTCTCTTACTTTGTCAAGGTTTCTTTTAATTTGTTTCTTGCTTTTTTCTTTTTGGGTGAATTTCTTGCTGGATATTGTCGAATATTGAGTTGTTTTTGCTTCTGTTGTTAATCTTTTATTTTTGCTCTTGATCGCGTGCTGTCTGGGTTGGTTCTGGACTTAGTGGTGAGTTATTTGAGAAAATGTCTCTGTGATCATTCTTTCTGTTTGAAAGATGTCTCTCTCTCTTTTCTCTTCCAGTTTTCCTTTTGTAAACTTTACTTGCTGAAATTTCTGTCTTCTTGACCAAAGGTGCAGAAGTTGATATAGAATGATAGTTCCTCGATGTAAGTAAGGCCTTAGGGTAGAAGCTCTACCTTGTTGCAAAAAAGAAATAACTTGTAGGTTGAACAGCATGTTAATGATGATGATTGGTTGTTTCATACAGATTATTAAGAGGTCATGATGCTTGGTAACTCAAGACTCCATAAACAAGAGAATCAGTGTTGATGATAAGACTCTGTAATCATGATGCTTGGTATTAAAAGCTGAAAATCTAAGGCTGGCCGAAATTTAGTTTAGCCGAGATATTGAGCTTTTAGGTGTGCCTGTGTGTTTGAAGAAGCATCCAAAATACTCTAGAAAAATGATTGTAGCTTCATGCTTGGTCATCAGAATTTTGCTGTAAGGTTCTAAGTGAGATAACAAGTGAAAATATTTCATTATGATTGACTAGATAATACTGTGTTTGGTTTGCAAATCAAAACAAACCAAAAGTTAATGAATGTTGGAATAAGGGACAGTGCTGCATTGGGAATTAATATTCATTTATTTAATGAGCTAACACCATTTACTCACTTTACCATTGTGTGTAACTTTCCTCACAATGTTCTTAAGAATAACTAAGCAGTCTACCAAAGGGAAACGAAAAACTGAATCTGGCAAGGAGAGATTCAGACTGTTAGAAAGGGGCTATTTTTATGTTGAGCTACTATGAAGTGCATGACAAGAAAAAACAAGTATAGCTTATACAAAGCGTTGTAAGATTTCCAATCATGGCACGGTGTTTTGTAAGTACTTAATGAAAACTAATGAGCAAAATACCTTAGGATGGAAAAGTCAAAAACTCATAAACCACAAAACCAGTTCTATATTTCTATTACAATTTTAAACACTCTTTCATCAAAACTACAGCAAGAAATAAAGAAATGATGAAATTCAAAAACAAAAATATAATATATGACCAGATTACACATCTGAATTCGTACTTCAATCTCAAAAAACTATTAAGCCTTGCCAATAGAAAAAAAGAGAAAGAAAGTACTTAGAGGAATAAATCAGTCCATCATACATCAAGTATTTTTTTCACACGAATTGTTTGAAGGATATACCATTTACTCTTGGATGGCTTATTTTATCTACTCTTATGAGTGTTTTTTTTGTAAGTCTCAAAGGGTAAAAGGTCTATTTATCAAACAATATGACGTTTGTGAGTTTTGAACTAATTTTATCACCGAAAAAAGGATTTGATGTATGATGAACCAATTTACTCCTCTTAAGTGCTTTTTTTTTTGTTTGTTTGTTGTTAAAGCTTTATAGTTTCTTTAAGATTGAAGTACTAGTTCAAATGTGTAATCTGTTTATGCATTACATTTTTGTTTTTGAATTTTTTTATTTCTCCATTTGTTGCTATACTTTTGATGACATATTGTATAAAAGTGTTGTAGAAGTGTAGAGTTCTATCGTCCGCTTTGTTGATTATTAATATTTGAATCTTATATTTTAAACTACTGTGCTTTTTTTTTTTTGGTGTTTCCTTTGGACTTACAAAATACTATGCCATGAGTGGGAATCATCCATGCTTTGTACTAATTAGTTTCTTGTGTTTCCTTCCCATTTGACACAAACCTAGTTTTGTCTTCTTTAGTTAAAGAAAATACTAGAAAAAAGGAGTTAAGGTTTTTGACCTGATAAAATGGATTCTACGAACAAATACTGGTTTTCTGATATTTATTTAAGCTATAACTTGAAGATCTCGATGGAGTGCCCTGGATGATTTGAGTGAGGCTTCTGAAGTAGGAATCCAGGCATAGGGTGAGTTGAGTGAGCTGTGTTGTGTGGAAAGACAAAAGTAAAAGAGGGAGACAAGGGATTTACTTTCAAGTACTTCACTAAGCAGTTGACCTGGAAGTCTTTAAGGTATCAGTTTAAGGGAAATTGTAGAACCACTTACCTGAAAATCATGGTCGTAAACTTTGAAGATTTAGAAGTAACCTCATTATTAATGATTTTAAGGACCTATCCATGGATTTTTTAGAAATTCTTTTGCTTTATAAAGAATTTAGTTTTTAATGTTATGGATTGAACCTAGCAGCTTTTCATTGCTTCTGTCATGCTTATTTGTTTTTCCAGTCTAATATTCTTGTTTGCTGGTGGAGTGTGTGTTAGTGTGTGTGTTTGCGTTTGTGTATGTGTGTGAGAGAGAGATATGGACAGCTTGAGGGGGGAGGTCCTAGAGCTAGGGAAAGTTCAAGGAAGGTGAGATTCACAAAATCAGTCTAAGGGAAATTGTAGAACCACTTACATGAAAATCATGGTCGTAAACTTTGAAGATTTAGCAGTAACCTCATTATTAATGATTTTAAGGACCTATCCATGGAATTTTTAGAGATTCTTTTGCTTTGAAAGAATTTAGTTTTTAAGGTTATGGATTGAACCTAGCAGCTTTTCATTGCTTCTGTCATGCTTATTTGTTCTCCAGTCTAATGTTCGTGTTTGCTGGTGGAGTGTGTCAGTGTGTGTGTTTGTGTTTGTGTATGTGTGTGTGAGAGAGAGATGGACAGATTGAAGGGGGAGGTCGTAGAGCTAGGGAAAGTTCAAGGAAGGTGAGATTTACAAAATCTTTCTTATCCCATGTGTGTTTGTATGAAATGTTGAATTAAGCCTCCTGCATATTTTGTAGCAGATATCAGTTTTATTAAGTAGTTGAAATTGAAGGCTGTCAATAACTTTATCAAGTCTATTAAAGGTTTTGCTCATTTGCCTTTCAGAAACACAGGTTTTATTTGCAGGCAAACTTAACTAGTCACTTTTATTAGTTAGTTTATAAGAGTAGTAGAACTTGACCTTCTAAGAGACACACGTAGTTTCTTTTGCATGGATGCCTGGGTATTAGGTTGATCTTTTGATGATTGGATAAAATTTCAATCTTTATTTTTGACAAGTACGTTTCAATCTTTAGAGGAATACTGAACTACTGAGTCCTAGTGAGAGCAAAGAAGGCATTTCATTTGTCGTCCAAGGACAGGTTAGGTTGGGGACATGAGAAATTGGTATAATTACTTTAGGTAGCTCAAGCTAGGATTAGTCTCAGAATATGAAAAGCATGACATTGAGGACTGGATCTTGACTGAATCTTGGGATATGAGACATTGTGCACTGTGTTGGATTCTAAGATAAGGATAATCTACACCTGGGAGCGGCCGGCCTAAGAATTTTCCTAACTTTATTTTGGTTCCATAGAGTGGGTCTCCATGTGATTGTTGAAGAAATTTTTGAGTGAGAGAGGTGTATAGATTTGGCACTACTAAGATGAATATCCAGATTCTGAAGTAATTATGGTCTACTGTGTATTTTCGCATTGTCGCAAGGGTTTGACGTATAAAAGATGTCCGACATGAAGCTTGAGTTGATTTTAGAATATGGTTGTGGAGCTGATCTTTGGTAGATGTGTTTTAGGATGGATCAATTTTGCTTAGTAAGGGTTATTTTCCTAACAATGTCTGCTGTAGTCATTAATATTTATAAGAATTTTCTTTCAAGTACTTAGCTTAGTGGTTTGACCTGGAAAGTTTCTTGAAGGTTGTCGGGCTCCAACCCCCCCTCCCCCTGCCTTCCTTGTTCAATTCAAGTGGTTTGACCTGGAAAGTTTCTTTAAGGTTATCAACGTAGGGGCAATTTTAGAATCATTCACCTTAAGAACATAGTTAAAATTGTCTACATTTTAGGGGGTTGAGTCATTATTAGTGATGTCAAGGACATATCCATGAAATTTGTAGTATTTTGCTACCTAGAATAGAATATATTCTAGCATTCTATGATGCACCTGGCAGCTTTTGGATGTTTCTCTCTTATTTAGACTCCTCATACATGTTCTGTAGTAGATGGTGGTGTTTATGTGTAAGCCTTGGTAGTTTTACAAATGTAGTCTGTGCATAATCTAGTGAGTTTGAATTAATTAACAATGGTTTTGCTTGTTTACCTTTCACAAACAGAAGATCACGCAATGGTTTATTAGCATGTAACTAGACAAATCACTTATATTAGCTAATAAGTGTAGTAGCGCTAAAGCTTCTGTGAGACACTAATTACTTTTGTAGGCATGTCTGGGAGTGATAAGTTGGTGTCATCAGACCATGGAAGCATAACATCTAGGAGTAGATCTAAACTAAATCTTGGGGAATAAGACATTGTGCACTTTATTGGATTCTTAAATAAAGATAATCTATACTTGGGAGTGGCCGGCCTGAGTTGTGGATTAACTTTATTTTTGTTCCATAGACTGGGTCACCATATGATTGTTGAAGAGAATTTTGAGTGAGAGAAGTGTTTAGATTTGGCACTACTAAGATGAGTATCCAGATTCCAAAGTAATTATGGTCTAGTGTGCATTGGCTCAATGTCGCGAGGGTTGACATTGAAAGATGTCCGATATGAAGATTGAATTGATTTTAGACTGTGGTTGTAGCATTGATCTATAGCAAATGTGTTTAGGATGGCTCAATTTTGCTTAGTGAGCTTTATTCTCCTAACAATGTCTGGTGTAGTCATTAATATCTATGTTTGGAATCTGTTTTCAAGTACTTAGCTTGGCAACTTGACCTGGAAAGTTTCTTTAAGGTTATCACCTTAGGGCAATTGCAGAACCATTCACCTTATGAACATAGTTAAAATTGTCTACATATTAGGTGGTTGAGTCGTTATTATTGATGTCAAGGAGATATTCATGAAATTCGTAGAATTTTTCTACCTCGAGTAGAATTTATATTCTAATATTCTTGGTTACGTATGGCAGCTTTTGGTTGCTTCTCTAGTATTCCGACACCTCGTACATTTTCCGTAGTATATAGCAATCTGAATACATAGGCATAATAGTTTTATAACTGTAGGCTATGCATACAACGGTTTTGTTCAGAAACAGGAGGTCGCAGAATGTTTTATTTGCATGTAGACCTGACAAGTCACTTATATTAGTTAAGAAGTAAAAATTTTGCTATAATTTATAGAATGTATTATAGACCTTTGTTATCACAATTAAATCCAAAATTTGTAATGACTCCAACCCTAAAAGATTAAAATAGAATGAAATCACAGTGCCTACTAAATTTCAAATACAAAATCCACAAGTTCCAAGAAACCTAGAAAGAACATAAGCATAACAAATAATAGAGGAGCTGGATGGAAAAGTAATCATAAAATTTCCTTCTTATAGAGAAAGACCGTGAACTTTTTCAAATTTTTCGTGGATGCCAGCTAGACAATCTTGTTCTAATTCTATTGAATTTGTATCCCCTATTGAAAATAATTTAACATTTAAGTTCAAAACCCCAGTACCTGAAGTAATACATCAAAATCAGTCTGATTATTCACCAACACATTCACAAATGAAAGGAGAGATAAATGTTATAAATAAAGCTAATTTTAAAATTAATTATAAATATTTACAAGAAGATTTTGAAGATGAAGAAAATACAAATAAAAGGATTTGGTTTGCTCAGTTATCACCTTTATGTAGAAAAAATTTGAAAAAAGAATGGAAAAATGAATTAAAACAAAGAAAATTTAATTTTCCTTTCTTCACATGGTTGTTGTTTTATACCTCAAAAATAGGGCTGAATATATATGAAAAATCTCAAATAAATTTGCAAACTAATTTATATAAAAAATGGAATTTGAAAGATAATCAAGTAGTTACAGCTACTCAGCCCCCATTACAAGAAATTAGAATAAACACTATTGAAGGAGATATAACTGCATCACTTTTTAAACAAGGAAGAGAAGCAGAATCAAGCATAAATAATAATGGGTTTGTTTGGATAGGAAAAGTTTAGATGATTTGGATTGAAAATTTGAGTTGTATGATTTACCATATCTGAATATGGTTTTGTGCTAGATGTTTGCAATTTGAATTCTGGCGGATTGGTGTAATGAGAAAGGAATGATTACGTGACTTTTGTCAGGAAGGTGGTAGATTTCACTTCCTTTGCTAAATATAGTGCGCGGGTCCCACAGTTTGAGTGAAAGGATTCTTATTCTTTTTTTTTGTCGAAACGATAGATGTCCTATAATCTAATCTAGCATAGTTTAAGGGGAAGGGGAGGGGGTTCGATGTGAGTACAGACTCCATCGATGAAGGTCAATTAAGACCGCCACAAATTGTGGCAAATTTGTGGGAGGTAGGGATTGAACCCCTGACCTCACAAATTGTGGCAAATTTGTGGGAGGCAGGGATTGAAAGGATTCTTATTCACTCATTGACACTTGATGAATTGGGGTGTATGGGCTAATTATAGTGCGCGGGTCCCGCAGTTTGATCAAAAGGACTCTTATTCACTCGTTGGCACCTGATGAATTGGGGTGTATGGGAAGCGAATTAGTTATCGGTATTCCTTCCATATAACATGCCCGAGAGCGTCGACAACATTTTCCACATTTGCAAAAAAAAATTGGGTAAAATACATTAAACCCCCTTATGATTTGGGTTATTATCATAAAGCCTCCTCATTGTTTAAAAACTCTCAAATAAACTCCTTGTGCTTTGGACTTCTTTGGAAAATGGATGGAAATCATCCAAATTGACAGAAAGTGAATTACACACGCTTGACAAGCGAGTGTGATAACAATACATCAAGGGTAATGTGATAATTTTACATTTTCTTTTCTTTTCTTTTCTTTTTTTCCTTGTTCTTTCTTTTTTTTTCTTTCTTCTGAACTATCTGGAATAGAAAAACAGAAGAAAAAACTGAAGCAAAATCAACACCAACCTTTGTTAATCTTACTTTTCTTTTTTTCTTCTTTCCTTCCTCCTTCTTTTCTTCCTTTTTTTTCATTTTTTCTCCTTTCCCTTCTGGTGCAACTACAAGTAGAAACCCAAAGCTCCATTACCTTTGATAAACCCTCTCAAATCGGACTTGAATTTCTCTCACCAACTCAAAATCTCCCTTAAACATACAATTCACTCGATTCTTGAAGCCAGAGACACCACCATCTCATAGCCTTCAGGTGATCCCTTTCCCCTTCGTTCTCATCCACCGCCACCACCAATTTCGCTTCGCCGCTGTTGCCATCGGCACTACTGCTTAGATTTCCTGGTATGGGTCGCATCGCCAAGTCCGTCAACGACCACAAGGCCAGTCTAGATCTCATTTCGATAGACAATCTGCCCAAGCCACTCATCATTGCAGACGTCTCTCCAACTCCGATGCATGGCTTGAAGCTCCATATTGCCCACCAAGGTGTTCCCGGAGCTTTCAGCGAAGCCACTGCCGGCAAAGTTTATATGAACATGCGAAGTGGGTTTTCATGAAGAAATTTTGCGAGTTTTAGTTGAATTTTGATTTCTTATTGCCCAAATCTAATACAAGTTGACTTTAATTTGAGCGGTTTCTGCTTAATTTAGTATTGAGATTCTTGGCGTTGATATTAATTTGATCTGATCCATTTTAGTATGAAGGAAGAAAAGAAAAGGAAAAGGAAGAAAAATGCAAAAAAAAAAAAAAAGAGGCCTGGTATAAATGATTGATGGTTGAACCTAGAGATGATGACAATGGAAAAGCCATCAGTGTTTGCAGCGTGAAAGGCAAGTTGGAGAAGATGACTGTTTGGAAAAGATGAAATCTTTTTAAAATTTCAATTTAGCCCCTTAATTTACCTTTTGTTCTCAAATGAATTAAGAAATTTAGTAAAATAACATCTAAATCCTAAATTAACTATTGGTACATTTTGAAAACGGGGTCAGCATTGGAATTTTACGTTTTTTCGTCAATTTGGATGATTTTCATCCATTTTCTAAAGAAGTCCAAAGCACAAGAAGTTTATATGGGGGTTTTTAAACAATGAGGAGGTTTTATAACAATAACCCAAACCACAAGGGGGTTTAATGTATTTTACCCAAAAAAAATTTTGGGTTTCGATTTTTTTAAAAACCCAACCAATTATAAGTACGGTTAAATCTTAGGACAGGATAAACCCCAGGTTTTTTTATTCCAGCTTGTCAAGTGACTAGCACTAAAAACTCAAGAGTTATGGTACAAATACCACATGACATTAATGTTTCGATTATAACGAAAGGCAACAACCATATTATTAAGAACGAGAAATATATTTGGACATCACAAATATGACAGTGATTCTTGTAACTCTTCGAGCCTCTAGCGAATAGCAAATCACTGCTTCGTGCACGATTTCGCGTATTTCTATAGGTATTGAAAATATGTGTCACCATTGTATCTTTCATGGCAATCCATTGCTGAACAGCTTCAGGAGGAGAATGCAATAGCTGTATCTCGGGATATGGAGGAATTGCACCATGAATATCTGGATCCCCCTCGTACGGGTTAGCAAAGTACATATCATTTGGTTGTTGATCCCTAATGAAGTTATGCACGACACAACAAGAAATAACTACATTTATCTGTGTTGTCATCATGTAGTTCAGAGCGGCTTCCCTTAAAATGCCAAATATCCTTTTAAGGACATCGAAATTTCGCTCTGTGACATTCCGTAGTACAGAGTGTCGGTAATTAAAAAGTTATTTCGCAATTGCAAATCTCCCTCTCCTGCGACCACTAACATCCACTTGGCGTCCCCTATATAGTGGTAAGAAATTGGGCAAGTTTCGATACGCGGAGTCAACTAAATAATATTTTTCTATGACAATTAGAAGATACGATCGAATTAGTTGCATTTTGTACTTTTTTACTATTTTTCAAATTATTCAATGTCCCAGATTTTTCAATTGGAAAAGACAAAACAAATAATATAAGGGCTAAATCAAATCACTGTGGAAAAGAAAGTGAAAAGATAAATAATTAGATTTTCTAAGGATTGGGATAAAAATATACAATTGAGGCCTTAATTTACGTGAAGGGGTGAATTACAAATTATACTTGTAGGAGGCACGGGGAAGTGATTTGGGCTGGTCAAAATTCCATCCAAGACTCGAGCATCATGTGCACTTCGCTCCCATCCGGCATACATATATACAAATCGCATATCATTGTTGCATACAACTAAAATATTTTGCGATTGTACACCGCGTCTATTAGTGCATGCCACTTGCTGTTCTCTTGGGACAAAAGCAGGTATATGTGTCCTATCAATAACCTCGACGCAGTCCTTCAAAAAGAAACTATTAAATGGATGAGGTATAAACTAGTATATGAATGACACGTGTTCTAAGTACACTATTAATATGGCCTAAAAATAATCCACTAATTTCATATACTAACGCCAAAAAAGGAAAAACTAAAAATCTGTCACCATATTTTCCTATGCACAACGCTTTTTGCCACTTTTAATAGCCCTGTATGAATTCCTATGGTGAAGTGTGCTCTTGTTGGAAGGCGAGACAACACCTGTATTCACGTTAATTAGATGAAATTTGAAAAGAAAAAGATTTATATTCGAAAGCAATTTTGATATCACCGTACTTCAAACCAAGGATAAAACCTCCTATCGTTCATAATTTTCGAATGAATTTCGTCCTGCCGTCTTGGAGTAATGATGAATTGCGCGAATGTGCATAGGCTCCGAATAACTTCATGAATATTGTGATGCACTGTCTCCGTCGAATGGTTAAATCGATCAGCAATCATGTGCATTCTCATGTTGTGGCTCATCATGACTAATGTCATCGCAAGTGCCTCCTGTATTGTAACACATTTCTGATGATTTTGGGGAACAAATCCACGTTCGGTCAAAAGTTGGCACAATCTCATGAAAGAATCAACATTTAACCTTGTTGCATTCATAATTCGGGTATGGTGGCCTGACTTCAATTCTTCAATCCAGTGTCGTCCTGATAATGTCGACGTCCTGCATGGTACCTTCTGGATTGAGCTTTTGTATGGTTCTGCATGTGATCCAAATAATAGCGCACCACCAGCAGCAAATAGAAGATCATATTCGTCTGAAGACGAGTTTGTTCCCTGCACATCACCAAATGCGCTCATTTGGATTTTTTTCACCAAAACAGAGTTAGAATGGTGCTTTCTTCGACTAGATTTGCTAAATGAGAGCTGTATGGTTAAATGCGCTCACATGCTCTCTTTCTTTTTATGCTATCTGTATGTCCCTGGAAAATCTACAAATTTTTTGCATCCTTTTAAAGGCCATGACCCTTCGCAAGATTTTACTTTTTCATATGTCCTTGGAGGTGTTCGCGTGAATAATAGTGTGCAGTTATTTCCATTATTACTAGCTCACATGAGTCGTCTTTGGATTCCATTACGAATGACCTGTAAGCAGCTTTTGTCTCTCCATGCGCGCTTCCATTCATTCCCATTTTATTTGTATGCTTACGATAACGTCCATTGAGAAGACTGTATGAGACGTCAAATCTCATAAAAAGAAATATGGAGGGAGCGATATTTTTTCAAATCACGCGGTACGTGTTTGAGCACGTCAATACTTTGCCAATTTGAAAGATTATGAATATAGGGTGCATGTGCATAAAGGTGTTTTGAGGTCTATATAGCATCAGGTTATTGCTTTTGCTGTCTATTATAGTTGTATATCTAACACTTATTAAGGAAATGCACTTTTGTAAGGGAAACTCACTTTGCCGCAGTCAATCTACTTTCTACTAGATTTTTTTTGACTTTTGTGTAGAAACTACTTGACATAATAACTAGAAAATCTGGATGTGTAGAAAGCTACTATATTACTTTCTACTAATTTCTAGTATTTGTACTACTTCCTAATTTAAGTATCCATCGCTGGACTTTCTACTATTTCTACTAAGCAATCAATCTACTAATTGGAACTATTTCTTATTATTTGTATCTAGACTTTTGTCAACTCAATTTATGTCTGGACCGTCCTGTCCTTCATTAGACCTGCATCATATAAAATAAGGCCACAACAATAAAAGAATGCAAATCAAATCTCGTGGCATCCGTATAGTCCTTCAAAAAAAATTGCAACTAAAAGAATGCAATTAAAAATCTGCAAGTTTAACCATAATATATATCTATTAGAATCAATTCCTCCAAACAAGTGAATCTCCAAGCCAAAGTTTTAAACCAAACAGGGCTGTCCAAATAACTGCAGAATAAGAAACTCAACATCGACAAATTATCCAAACAAGTTTATGCAAGGCAGTAGATTTAAAATCACATTCAAGGAACTAAAAGTCCCAACTCAAATCCCAATTGCATGGTATTTTCACTCAAATAATTGCATAGGCCGAGCAGTCTATAGTCCCAAAGTAGTTGCCTTGAAACTCCCATTAAAATTCCAAGTTTCGACTACTTTCCATCGGGTGTCCTCTGAGGGGCAATCTCCAAAGAGGGTTCAACCAATACTCTTGAAGATCGCGACTGAGACTCAGGAAAGTCTTCGGCCACTTGTCGTCCTGGAGTGCCAAAACTGCAGCGAACTTCCTCCTTTTGTCCAGCGATTCGAACGATTCCACGACCTGAGCTGCCATATCCACATCAAATTTTTCCTTTTCAGATTCTCGGCGACCCTTGATATGTAGTTCAGAATTCGTTAGGGTAGAGAGCGAGTTGGCACACTCAACGAATGGATTGTCCGTACTTCTACTTGACTTGCTTCCCCGGGATCCAGTTGGGAGTGAGATCATGGCCTCCTGACTGCTCGAACCTCGCTTCACTCCTACAATTGAAGCTTCTTCGTTGAAACTGGCATCCTGGCAGGCGTTGTATATTTCATCACCAAAGGGTGAAGAGAAAATATGCCCACGATTGTGCCCAGCTCGCTTGCGTGGATGTAAATTGAGGGCGGTACTGAAGAGGCTTGAGCTTGACTCCCTGTGGCGGTTTCTCCTTCTAAGAGTTCGGACAGGATTGCATATTTGTCAACGCATTGGCAATATCTGAAGTGCCTATAATCCTGGTTCTCCTGTTTGAAAGGCAAAACAAGGAAGGTGAAACATGAGAGTATTCACATCTGATGTAAAAGGTTTATGCAAAGACAAAGTTAAAAAAAGAGACAGCAAGGTTCCCTTGTTGGACAATAGATTAACATTTATGCACTTCCCTTCCCCGGAAGACAAAATGTCAATTGCACCTAAAAAATTCAGCCCCCCAATGTGCACACATACAGCTAACCACCAGCATATAGTAAATGGAACAGAAATTAAGAACAATTGGCAGGTTAGATGACTATCTGTATGTCAAAGACGCATGGACAGGACTTATTTTGACTACTGTTCGGATAACAATCTATTAAGTCTTTATACGAATAAATAATTAATCGTACATGCAGTCTTCCATATACTGTACAGCCTCAAGAAACAGGAAAAGGACATCATCAAGTAGTGAATGATGGCAATCAGATATAGCAAAGTTAAATGGCTAGAACTAAATTAAAGTTAATGGAAAAAATACCATTTGCAAATTGTTCTATTGAGACTCTTCAGTGAAGAAGCACCTCCTATT